CCTTTGCCTGTTTTTTAATCCAGTGGTATTTATTATTGTTGTTGATTTCTAGTTCTCAATATATTCTGGATATTAATTTCTCATCAGACATATGGTTTTTGTATTTTCTCTGATTCTGTGGGCTGCCTTTTTAAAATTTTTCTTTTCTTTTTAGTTGTCAATGGACTTTTGTTTATTTGTATGTGGTGCTGAGAATGGAGCCCAGTGCCTCGCACCTGCTAGGCAAGCACCCACCACTGAGCCTCAACCCCAGCCCCTGGGCTGTCTTTTTGTACTGTGGACAGCATCTTCTGCTGCATACAATTTTAAAATATTCATGAAGTCCAGTTTCTTTATTTTTCTTTTGTTGCTGGTGCCTTTGTTATCACACCCAAGAAATCACTGCCAACTCAAATGTCCTAAAGCTTCGGGCCTATGTTTCTTCTAAGGGTTTTATTATTTTAGAGCTTACATTGAAGTCTTTGACCCACATTGAGTTGATTTTGTTTATACTAGGAATTGAACCCAGGGGTGCTTTACCACTGAGATATATCCCTAGTCCTTTAAAAAAAAATTTTTTTTTTTTTAAGACAGGGTCTTGCTAAGTTGCTGAGGCTGCCCTTGAACTTGCATCCTCCTGCCTCAGCCTTCTTAGTGGTTGGGATTAAATTAGGATTAAGTAGTTGGACCCACAGCAGGCTGCTGGAGTGGGAGAGGTCATCAGGACAGAATGGAGCTCTTGAGCGCCTGTCACCTTGCTGCCTTTGAAAGTGGGCAGTCGATTCTCTGGATTTGGAAGCTCTGCCTTGCTGAAATTCACCTGTTCTTCACTCTCTCTTTCTATTGTTTTTGTGGTACTGGGGATTGAACCTAGAGACACACGTATGCTAGGCTAGCCACTACCGGGCCCATGCTGGTACCAGGTTCCCTCTGCTACTCCCACCTTTTCTGAAATAGGGTCTTGCTAAATTGCTCAGGCTGACCTTAAACTTTCAATCCTCCAGCCTCAGCCTCTGGAATAGCTGGGATTATAGGCATGTGCCAGACTGGTCATTTCTTTTTTTATTTTTGGTACTAGGGATTGAGCACAGATGTGCTTTATCACTGAGCCACATCTCCAGCCCTTTTTACTTTTTGAGACAGGGACTCATTAAGTTGCTTAGATCCCTACTAAATTGCTAAGGCTAGTCTCAGACTTGCAATCCTCCTGTCTTCGCCTTCCAAGCTGCTGGGATGACAGGTGTGCTCAACCATGCCCAGCTACCTTGGCCATTTTTGCTTTTATCTTGCAGCTCCATCTAATTGGCTGTTCTCTCTGGCCCTCAGCTTGGGCTGCTTTTTGCCCTCTGTTCTCAGCCCCAGCTCTCTGTCTGTCTCACCATCACACTGGGAGGCAAGACCTCTGCAGCCTCTGGCAATGTCCACGCTATGAAAAGCAGAGAGAAGGAAGAACTCTCCAGAATAAAGGAGACTAGAGAGATACGACAACTAAATGGAATGTGGGACCCTGGTCGCAGGAAACTGGTGCTACAAACGTTAGTGACAAAGTTGGAGGGGTGGGTGGAAGATCAGCTGAGAGCGTTGTGTCAAGGTTACAGTCCCCGTCTGCTGACAGTGCTGTGGTTGGGAAACAGAACAACTTTAGTTCTTGGTGAAAAGCTACTGAAGGCCAGGCGCGGCGGCATGCCCCTACAATCCCAGCTCTGGGGGGTGGGGGGGGGGTGGCGGGCTGAGGCAGGAGGATCATAAGTTTGAGGCCAGCCTTGGCAACTTAGCCAAAATAAAAAGGACTCGGATGGCAGCTCAGTGGTAGAATGTGTGAGATCCTGAATTAGATCCCCAGCACTCCAGAGAAAAAAAGAAAGAAATCCATAATGACTTACTTAACTTCTTGCCAAATTCCAAAGTCATAGTTAAGAGAGGAAGAGAGAGAGATGGAGACTGAGCTAGAACAATAGCAAACAAGGACAGTCCCCTCAACCCCTGTAAGGACGCCCCTGCATAGGGTACCGCACTGTCCCTAGGCTATAAGCCAGAGCATGGAGGACACAGCTGGTTCTGGGGGTCATCCTGGGCCAGTCAGCAGGTGGGTGGAGGCCCTGGAGCACTGCAACCCAACACAGCTCCATGCTTCCCGCCTGGGCTTCTGGCTGCTGAGCATCTCCTGAAAACCACTGCTATCTGGGGACTCTCGGGGTCTTGAGTGGCCTCCGCTTAAGGAACCTCCACTGCAGCTGCAGAAAGGCTGGGTGCCGGGCAGCACGGAGTGCCATCCCCTCCCCTTCACCCCAGCTGGTGGCCGAGGGCGCCCAAGCAAGAGGCCTCTGGCTCCGTGTGACCTCCCCCGGGAAGCTCTCCAGCTGTGCAAGTTCACGGAGCCCAGTGGGTCCCTAGGTTGTGATGATGAGAAGCATCTCGACTATCCCCAGAGTTGGGGATCTGGCACTGTGCAGCGTCCTCAGAGGGTGGCAGTAGACGGGTCCTGTAGGCAAGGCCCTGTGTTCTCAGGTCCTGCCGTGTGCCAAGTAATGGTGAGTAAGTGGCCGTATTTCATGTTCTGAGGTCCCTGCCTTCTGGTCACAGCTGACCGGATGGGGCAGGATACCACCCCAAGGAAAGGGCAGTCTACAGGCTTCCCAAGGGCCCCTGCAAAAAACAGAGACCAAGTAGATCCTTTTGTTCAACAATCAGTTGTTCAGAGGGGAGTGGCCACAGCTCTGTAGGTGGTAGGTCAAATGGGGGTGATGCTGGAGGGTCAAGGTAGTGTCAACCAGAATCCCAGGACAGCAGCACCTTTGAGCGAGCAAGGAAAACCAGAAGGGAGAGGAAAACGGGACAGGTAGAAAAAGAGAAAAGAATTGTGCACACGTGTAGAGCATTTACCACAGGCCAGGCGCTGTTCTAGGCTCTCGGCACGTTTTTTTTTTTTTTCACATAACTGTCATCGTCCATAAAGCAGACACTATTCTACTATTATTTTAAAAACGAGGAAACAGGAACAGAGAGGTTAAGCACCTTGCTTAAGGCCACACCTCCAGTCAATGATAAAGCTGTGTCTTCCAGCTTGGGTGGTAACCGCACAGTCACCCTGCTAAATCCATCAGGTCAGGTCAATGGCTGTGTGGCTGCTTTGGCCCCAGGCCTGTGTGGTACAGTTCCTACCCTAGGGCTCCAAGGGGCTCTCTTATCTCTTGTGTTACCTTTAGAGGGTTTCTGATAAAAATTCGAAGGGATCTCTGTTAGGGGACAGTGGGTACTTCCCAGGCTAGCCCTTTCCGGCCAATAGGGTCCTTGGCTCCCTGACATGGGGTTGGTTCCACTAGCTGCTCACATGGGAGGTGCCCTGATTGGAGGCTGTCATCGTGAACCGGCAGCATGGCCTGGGAAAATGGGGAGGCTTGTTTAGCTGGAGACTTCTCAAAGCTAAGGAATATTTGCACAGTGACGACATCTGAGCCTCCGGTTGGGGGGCCAGCACAACAATGAGCACTGTGCTACCAGCAAGGAGTCCGGGTGGTGGTGGCTGAAATTCCCTTCATATTTGTGCCTGCAGATAAACCCTATTAATACCAGGGTGCACAAGGCTGGGGGACTAGGTCCTGGACAGTGGTGGGTGGGCTGGAGGTCCGCGGGGATGACCGGGCAGCCGCAGGTCTTGTCCCCAGGCTCAAGCCCTTGTTCTGGCATGGTTGGTTTAAACGTGGCTTCCTTGCTCTCTGACGAGGGTCCATGTGTGAACACAAGATCTGCCACTGGAATGGGTGTCGGGAAGTTCTTGGGCCCATCGGGTATCCTCCACCCGCCTTTCCACCATCTGACCAGCTCAAGGGCAGCCTGGCAACACCCTCAACGTGAACAGGGAGGCTGGGCCTCCACAGTCATCCCATCCTCTTCCCTGGAGAATGAGCTTTCTTTCTCTGTCTCTCAGGCTGGCAGATACCATAGCACTACCTGTGGCTTGAGGTGGCCTTTAACTCCCCCCAGGAGCCACGAGCTCAGGGCCAGAGCCAGCAGTTTGATACCAGTCATCAATCACTAAAGTGTGTGACCTGAAAAAAGGATCATAGCAAAAGCAAAGCAGAGTGCTACTGGCTTCAAGTGAAGCCCTGCCCCTCTGTGCCAGCAATGGCCAGTACTAGATGACCACGGCGATGGAGGCCTCTCAGCCACAGGGAAACACAGGAGGCACGAGGCTCCATCTAGATGGACCCTGAGTTCCAGGGGGAGACTCAGGGTGGCTCTTTGCACATTTGGGTGGCTATAGTTGTGGGTACAGCAGGTGATCCTTTGGGGTTCGTGAAGAAGAAAAAATAGAAATTTTGGCTGGGTAGATCACATACATAATCCCAGTGACTCGGGAGGCTGAGGCAGGAGGATCACAAGTTCAAGGCTGGCCTGAGCAACTTAGTGAGACCCTGTCTCAAAATTAAAAGGGCAGGGGATGAAGCTCAGTGACACAGCGTGTGTCTAACGTTTGTGAGGCCCAATCCCTGCTATCCCCTCTACCCCAAGAGTAGAACTTCTGTGTAAATTTATATCATTCTTTAAAATACGAGGTGCATGTCTTCTAATAGGCACAGTAGACAGGTATGAGGAGTAACCGCTCTCTTCAGATGCACTGGTATGGGCTTCTCAGCAGAGGTGGCAAATCGGAATGTGGCTTGGGTCAACCCCCATCCTGATGCTCCTCCTCCACAGCTGAAGGTGCTTCATCTGCAATGCTGGGGCCAGTGTCTCCTGCTCAGATGCAACTGTGCCCTGGAGGGAGCACAGGGTTCACTGAAAGGACAGGTCAGAGGCCAGAGCCCGCCCGATGGACTCTTCTGCCTCTCTTACCTGCCTCAGCTCCGTCTGCGCATACTCCCCAAGCCTCTCCTCTCGCCCACTCCCACCTGGCAACATTCTCCAGATGATACCCCGACCTTCTCAGGTGGCCGCCCTCCTCTCCATCTGCCTCCCTTCTCTCCAGGGCTCGGCTCATGGGGGAATGAACACACTGAATGAACACAAGGCAATCCAGCTTCCCCTTCAAGAGTCTCTTTATTCAATTTCCAAAGTCACTGTCAGCAACTTGGCCCAGCTCTCCGTGGCTTCCAGAGAGGGCACGCTGGTCAGAATGCATTTGATGCCATTTCCTACTACCAAAAGGTGACTACCAATATCCTTGCACACCCCAAGGCACATCAGTGGCATTTGCTTATTTTTTTCTAATAGAATTCCAGAAAAAAATAGATCTCTATTATATATATATATCTATCTATATTTATATACATACATACATACACATACAGAGAGATCCTTCAACCAAGAGGCAAAGGATCACGTGTCCTTTGAGGTGCCCCTTGGTCTGGTGCAGGTGACCAGGAGGCCCCCACTCTCTGCAGTGCTGAGCTGTCCCCCTTGGGGAAAGTTGCAGCTATGACACACCAGGGTGGCCCCCACCAACCTTCCCATGAATCTCAAAATGGGAGCTGTGCCCAGGGGACAATTACTACTGGAACCTGTGGCAGATCAGGGAGGAACTCTGCCTGCCCCGGCCCTGGGAATGACTTCCTGGGGAAGGGTTCTGAGGGTGGAAGCAGCAGACCACGGAGCCAACAGGGAGGAGACATCTGCCCAGCAACTCCCGACCCTGCAGACAGGGTGTGTCCTGGACATGGAGGCCTGCTTCATCATGGAAAGGAGGGGCAGGCTTGGTCTCCTCCATCTCCAACCATAGCACCTGGAGTCCCAGGGTGGGGTTTGGGTCACCCAAGAAAGCCCGAGGGCTATAGGTGATGAGGCATACTGGAGACAGTCCTAGAGGCTGTCCCCCTCTGTATTAGTAGCCCTGGAGGGACCTGCATCCCAGGGAAAGGCTTGCAGGAATGTGTTGACTCAGGGTATTAGAAACAGCTGGGTCCAGAGCCATATTTTTGTCCCTAAGGTCCGCTCTAGGGGCCACTTAGGCTAGGGCACGTTTCCAGAGAGATGGGTAGAAATGTAAGGGTTAGTTAGGGCGGCTGTTCAGGTCCATACACCAGAGGCCCAAAGGCACTTGGTGGCAGAGAGGAAGAGCACGAAGGGCCCATTTGATCCCCTTGGACAAAGAAGGACAATGCCAGGCATCCTCTGCTAACATCTGAGAGAGGAACCCAGAAGTGCTGTCGTGCTCACCCAGCCCGCAGAGTCAAGCTGGGACTACCAGGGCAAGGCCTGAGCCACCCAGAAACCTGCCCTGTCCTGAGACAGGGGGAGCAAGATTCAGTGAGTGGGGACCCCAGACCCCAAGGCAGAGGCATGGGTAGGGGTAAGGCACAGCTGTGAGGCTCCCCACTCTGTGTTGTCAGGTCACCACACTCTGCAAAGTCACTTAAAGTTCAAGCCAGTCTGTCTCCCAAGGCACTGAGAAAGGAATCCAGGACAGCCTGGCCCAGCCAGAGGCAGCTCTGGGGGCTCCTCTCTGGTGGTGCAGAGGCTTGAGACTAAAGTTTGTCCAAAGTCAAAAAGTACAGCTGTCAGGAATTTCTAAGGATGGGGGCTTGACACCCTTCGGGCATCTTCAGATGATGCACAGGCACAGAGGGAGGGGCCTTGTGGAGATGCCACCCAGCTCCCTGCTCATAACATGTCTGAGTCCCAGGGAGCAAGGGATTTGCTTCCAATGCAAATCCTGTCCACCTGGCTCCAGCCCCAGCTGGCCCCGGAGGGGAGCGGGGAGGCGTGGGCCAGAACTGGGGCTGCAGCCTGCGGAAATGTTCACTAGCGATGTATTCCCTAAGCCCCACACTTGAATGCCAGCATCCCTCCTTGACCCCAGCTCCCTGCCTGTCCCTGCCTGCCCCCGCCTCCCTGGGCCTGTGCTGGCAGTCCCCCGCTGCTGCAGTGCCGCTCAGAGTTCCCTGGGGATGATGGAGAAGGGCAACACGGGGCTGCTGGCCTCCAACTCCAGGGCGGTGAGGAAGCAGTCGACGGCAGCCTCGTTCTGGCCCTGGGCCTGCAGCACCTCGCCCAGGCCCTGCCACGCCTCGTGGCAGGTGCTCTGCCTCTCCACAGCGTCCCGCAGTACCTTCTGGGCCAGGCTCTTGTGGCCCAGCCGACTCAGCATCAGACCCTGGAGACCAAGCAGAGGGGATAGTGAGTGAGGGCACCTGGGGGAGGGGCATCTTGGCAATCGGGACAAAAGGCAGGAGCAGCTCACTTGTCGGTCACCAGTCAGAGACGATTCTGTGCCCGGGTTGGGCACCGTCAGGTGACCTTGCCCTTGATGCCTGAAAACCTACCTGTTCCCACCCAAGTCCTCCCAGCTTCAACCTCAGGTCCTGGACCAGCCTGTGCAGCAGCTCTGTCCCTTTTAGTCCCCAGGGTCAGGCCATCTGGGGGTCCTGGGTGAGTCCTCCAGCCCTGTTTCCTCCTCTGCAAACGATAAATCACAGCAACCTCCCCTAGGGTTGCCCCGAAGGTGAAATGAGTCAGCCAATGTGACGCAGGCGAGGAGTTCCTGGCACAAGTGAGCCCCTGCTAAAGGGGACTCATTTTCTAGTCCTTGCTGCCTGCAGCATCAAGATGGAGGGGGGATGTCCATTGTCCATTACGGGAACTGCATCCGGAAAAACTCACGCTTGTAGGAGGGAGGAAGGGTCAGAGGGTGCCACTCCTTTGCTTGTGTCAAGCAGCTTGGAGCCCTGGGGTCCGCTGCTGACCCAACCTGGCAGGTGAGGGTCATGGGAGACAGTCAGAGGGCAGGGAAAGGACCAGGCGGGGGTGGTCCAGGGGAAAGGCTGGATGGGCTCAGGAAGGCAAGGCCCTGGGGTGTCTGCCAGGAGCAGGCAGGAAATGTCCCTGCAGTTTGGCTGAAACACTCTTGCCAGACAGTTAGAGGAAGTGACGGGAATTGTCCCACAAAAAAAGGGGCTGGGAAGTGAAATTGGCATGGTATACCCTCCACATCCTCTTCCACCCACACTTGGAAGGGAGCAGGGGGACAAGGTAGAAAGGAGGAGAGACCCAGGTCCCAGAAAGGCTGCTTCGTGCCGTCCGACTGTTGTGTATTTCAGCCCTAGAAGATACCACGAGAAGGCGGTGGGTGTCAGGGGGTCTTTTTCTTGTTCTAAGATAGGAGGGAAAGCTCTAATATCAACTCCCTAGGTATTGCTGGTGTGTGTGTGTGTGTGTGTGTGTGTGCGTGCGTGTGCGCGCTGCCGTCTGTGCCTGGAGCCCCCTCTCCACCCACTGATAGCCATGTACATTTTTAGCTGGATCATTTTCCTTCTCCATGAATTCCCCAGAGTTAGGCCTTCTGTTGCTATGGAGACACTGGGAAAGATGCATATGCCTGATTTCATAAAGTCCTCCAAGAGCCTGGAACACGACCAATTAGGCAAGAGAGATAGACGGGTGCTCAGGAAGCCCAGGAAAAGCTCCCCTCCCCGGAAGCACTTGCTTGAGGCCCTGTGGCAGGGGGTGGGGGAGAGGAACTGTACTCACAGTGCCCCAGATCCACCCAGGGCACAGCCACACCCAAGGAACCACACGTGGCTGAGGCTGTGGAGCTTGGGGCAGGGCAGGTTGCCGTGGGCAGGGTGGAGTCTCGGGCAGGGCCCCAGCTCTGGCCAGATGCAAGTGCTGCTGACTCAGGGCTGCCTGGGACTAGGGCAGTGTCCATCTGGCCAGTAGGGCTCCAGGCCAAGCTGTCCTGCCCACAGGGCTGGGACGCCAGTCCCCAAGCAGCTCACAGTGGAACCGGGCCCTCAGGGAGGAGGGAAGGAAGGCAAGCCGCCAGCCGCCAGACACCAAAATTAAGCACCAAAAATGGAAGGTTTGAGGTCCGTGAGCCTGCCCAAGGGAGCAACAGAGGACAGAGTGGCTGGCAGGGCCTCCCAGGGAGGGTGGCCCAGGGTGCCTTCTGCACTCTAAGTTTTCCTTATGGAGCTTCCTTCCACAGAGATTTTGTTGGAAAGAAGGGCTCCAAGGCTGCAAAGGAGTCTGAAAACCCCTGATCTCCTGGAGTGTGGGGGTGTCTGGGAAGGGGCCAGAGGTGCCTGCAGGCCGAACAGCGTGTGTGTGAGTCCTGCTCTCAGTCTGGGCTCCTCCGCACGCCTGGGTAGAGAAAAAAGGTCAGCCAGAAGCTCTGGTTGGGTTGGAATCCCAGCTCTGCCACTGACAAGGACTGTGACCACTGGCAAGTAGCGGACCTCCTCTGAGGTTTCCTTATCTGTAAACCAGGGGACGGGAGAGTCCATCCTTGTCAGGATTCTGAAAAAGTACATCCAGGGCACTAGGATGAATCTGGAAAAGTACATCCAGGGCACTAGGTGGCAAATGCAGCATCCCTAAGATGAGCTGAGGGTCTTTCAGGGTAGGGACAGGTGGCATCACTGATTTTTCTAGAAGCTGGAGACGGTTCAGTAGTTCTATGCCAGAGGAGGACTATGGGCTGTGGTGGGGTTGGCTCACATTCCTGCACCCTGGGGCGCTGACCTTAGAGCCTGAAAGGAGACACCAAGGCCCGGGTCAGGCTGGGGCCCAGAAGCCCAGGGCCTGTAACAGAATCCCCTGCCACCTGCCCCTGACACCAGCCGCATTAGTGTTTGGTAGCAACTCGGAGTTGTTTGCTGCCTGACAACTGGGTGGGACCCAGCCTGGACCCAGCCCCAGGGAGATGGGAGGTCTCATCTGCTCTGCCCCCAGCCCATCGCTAGCCCAGGGTTCACTGACACCCTCCTGGAACGCCACCTGCCCGGAGAAGAGGTCTTCAGGGAGATGGTGCGAATACAGAACTGGAATCTTGGTTCCACCTAAATGTCCCCTCTGAACCCTCCCTGTTCCTCATCCACTCAGGAGACCAAATTTGCAGACGCTCCCAGCTGTTGAGCCTCCCCTGGGAGATGCCAGAGCCAGGCTGCCCACCCTCAGGGATTAGATGGCAATGTGCAAGCTGTTTATGGCCACTGAGCATTGTACCTCCAAAGGGACACATGGCCTGGCTATAGCCACCAACATGGTTTCAGGCAAAGACAAAACCATGAGGTAGGTCCCCAGACATTCCACGTCCCTCCATGCCTTCTTCCCTCCCTTCCTGGATTTTAGGGAAGAGGGGTCTGGCCCATCTCATCTGCAGGGGCCTGGACTCCCAGGAAGCTTTCCCTGAGGACACAGTCCCTTGCCCACACAACCACCTCAAGGGTGCCCTTATTTACCCAGGGGGCTCTTGTACGCCAACCCTGTCCTGCCTCCCAGGCTGTGAGGGTGAGGGCCTCTGTCTCCTGCCTTTCCTTCTGTACCCCACAGGGCAACAGATCAACAGGGCTGGGGTGCAAGAGTCCTGGACACAAAGCTAGGGACACCAGAGGTATTTCCGTGCTTCCTGACTTGGATTTGCTGGTAGGCATGCTGTCCCTGGCGGTTCAGCAAGCCCTGTCTCCCACAGCAACAAAGGCGGGCAGCCTGAGGGGCCCAGATCCTGTTGGGATTTGATCCCCAAGACTGCGTGGAGACTCTGAGTGGGAAACCTCCCTGTCAGGAGCCAGGCTCTCTGGAGGTGCAGGGTGGGATCAGCGACTATAAGCCGGGATGAGGGAGAAGGTGAGGTTCCCCAGAGAGGGGGGACAGCAGGAAGGTCTGGGGGTACATGTGCCTTTTCCCTCTTTTGTGGAGAGCAGCCCTAGAGCTAGGCCAGCTGCAGGCCAGGCTGAGCTCTCCTCCCCACCCGCCCTCAAGTATTTATAGAAGTTATTTTGGGAATTTTCTTTCTGAGCTCAAGGCACATTCCTGGGATTCTGTAACAGTCTTTCCAGCTGGGAAGCTGGGAATCAGCTGGAGACCTCTGCAGCCTGCTGGTCCCTTGAGCCCTGCCCCTTCCAACCTTTGGGGACTCTGGGGCTGGGAAGAGAAGCCCCTCTGCAGCAAGGCTGCCTCCCCCACACCCTGGAGCACTGCAGAGACCAGGCTCTCTCCGTTCTCTGAGGTGTGTCAACCTGTCCAACCAGCCTGGGGACCTCCTTCCTGGCCCCCATCACACATCCCTCCCAGCAGGCCACAGGCTGGTCCTACTTCCTAGTTGGGGGAAGGGGCACAAATCCATCTAGTCCTGACTAACATGAGTACCCCTAAGTTCACCAGGCTCCCAAAGAGGCCTCTGCTGAGAAGGCCCCAGACTCATGGGAGCCCAGCCTGGGAGTCTCCTGGGACAGGGGGCCATGCTGTCTATGCTGCTGTGCCCATGCCTGTCCCTTCCTTATCCTGGGTCCTAGAGAGGTGAGATGGCCAAGGATACCAGCTGGCCTCTCTGCTGGGGCGTCTAAGGGCCAGGAGCTGGGCTGAGAGGCTGAAGTACCAGCTTGACCAGAGGACGGTCACATCCTCGGGATCTGCAGAGCCTGCGAACCCACCAGGAAGGGGGCTCCTTTGCCAGCCCACTTCCAGGCAGGGCTGGGCTTTTATCCCTCGGGCTTGGGTCTGGTTTGGGTGGAGCTGGCTTTGGACCCTTGAGGTTAGCTGGGCCTCAGGATTCTGGGTTCTAGAAGGGAACCTCCCGTGCTGGGGAGTGACGAGGTGGCCCTGGTCCTGAAACTCCCCTCTCTGGACAGGAGGCTGAGTCTAGAGGGCAGTGATTAAAGTTTGGGGGTTGGGTGGCGTACTGAACAAGGGGCTGAATGGCCACACTCTACAGCACCTTCTGTATACTGTGAGCTGACCTCAGAAAGAGATCAAACAGCCAAGACACTCTACATACAGAGATCCCACTACTTTGGTGACAAAATGGATTCTGGAGCTAAATTAAGCCACAGTGCTCAACTATCATTCTGATCTGAACCTATGACAGGCTTACAAACAGCAACCCCTCCACTTCCTCAGCAGAGTAGATGGACGTCACAAGCTCACACAGCAGGCTGAGGTTTCCCAGGAGACCAGAGCCAGGGCCAGGTCCAGGGCCAGGGCTCTGGGTGCACACTGGGGGTAGTGCCAGCCCAGCGGTAAGGTGAGGTAGGGAGGGGCCTCTGGACTCAGCCAGACCAATACTGGATACTGGGGGACAAGTCTCAGCCCCCACCTCCAGCCTACAGAACCCTCCACCACCTCCTGCACCTCCAGGTGGCACTGGGAATGTGGCCT